TGGCTGGGGAATTCTGGGAGTTGAAGTCCACTCATCTTAAAGTGGCCAAGTTTGGACAACACTGCTATACAGCCTGCTGATGTAACATGAACTGAAACCTGATGTGTGTGACAGCTAACCCACAAATGTTCATTATCCATGTTCAAAAAGAGAGTCATTAAAAGGGAAGAAAACGGTATGGACACAATCAAGCTTGCGTCCAAACCAGAATTAACCTCAGCCAGAGTTCTCTGACATTCAAACAATCCTTCCGGCCCATTTTCACCACACTCGACACTGGAGAATGAGTTCCTGCAGCGTTCGGATACCTTCTAGGCTTTTGTCCTTCAGAGCCATCGCCAGGAGAACGGCCTTGTTCCCAGCTTCCTGAGACACCGAGGTCACCAGATGCTTGGCGAAGATGTGGACAAGAGGCTGAAAGCAAGCCAAGATGGTCTTAGAGAACGTTTCTCCCAAACTTCACCTCCATGGTTGGGCAATCTTGCTAAGTCACCAAGAAAGCTGGTGGATTCCCCAGAAAACAAAGGAGGCAGAGGAATAAAGGAAGACAAGGGAGATGTTTGCAGGTAAACTGAGGCAGGGCAGGGAGGAAGAATACCTCATCTTTGCCGAGGAGAACTTTGGTGGTCCACAAAGGTCTGCTGATCCCTTCAGGTACCGCGTCAGGCTCCACCGAGACAAGAGTCCCCATCTTCCCATACTGGGTCACCACCACCAGGATCGTGGCCCCAAAGGCTGTGCACACCACCTCTGTTGGGATGCCCCGCACGACCTCTCTGGCCTGCTTTGAGACTGGGATGGGTTGGGCTGCCATGGCAGAAATCCGCCCCTGCCCTGCTTCTTGGGCAGGTGGTCCTCGATTCCGACCCTGGTTCTTCACGTTTAACCTGTCAGTGGGCAGGCAACGAGAAAGGCTTGGCGCTAGAGAAGAGAATCGACCACGTTGAGCTTCCTCAAGTTAGCACCTTCCACACCTGTTGGGGTTGCAGCTCCCAGGGCAAAGATTGCTGGGAGTTGTAGTTCTGCTATCTCAGGTGCTTCCCCTCCCTGGAGCCCCTTGCACTCGGGCCTTTGGCCAGGTAAAATGGATCGGGGGGGTCTCACCTCACATCCCCTTTGCATACAGAAATCAACATTCCCCTTAAACAGCTGCCCATCTTCAAGAGCAGGGTTTCTCGACCTCGGCAACTTTAAGACCTGGGGACTTCAACTCCCAGAATTCCTGGAGTTGAAGTCCACCCACCTTAAAAGTACCCCAGCATGCTGGCTGGGGGATTCTGGGAGCTGAAGTCCACATGTCTTAGAGTTACCAAGGTTGAGAAACGCTGCTCTTGAGGATTCGTGTTTTACTCACACCCCCGCAGGCCTGGATCTCCAACCTGGGTCCGCTAGGCTGGGTGCTGGCATGGCGGGGAGGGAACGAGCGCCCCCAGCCACCCATCCCGCGATTTTAAAGCTGGCCTGGCAGCCCTAACCGTGAGCCCCAGCTGCTTCCGGGGGCCCCGCTGCCTCCGCGGGGCTGCATTCCCACCCCGTCCCACCCC